GTTAACCAATTAAAAATCGGTATGTTGCGGCAACATCGCAGTAACATTAACATTGCCTATTTTGGAAATTTTAAAAAATGAGTATTTTTAGGTATYAATTATGCAAATCCAAGCATCATGTTCCATTTTCTGAAGTCAATYATAAGCAACATTCCCCAGAATCTTCAGAAATTTGTTTATAACTTGTTCAACTGCTTTTCCATTTCATTAGGCCATTATATGAYAGCCATCATATGAAAAACTTGAAAGATCTTCAATACATGGTTTCAGAGATGTTCAACCTGGCATGGGAGTAATGAATCTCTTCAGCAATTAAGCTTATGATATTTTCCGCTGACTCACTGCAGTGTCACGTTCTCTGTGCCTCTGCGTGTTTAATTTTACTTTGTCAAATTATCGGTTCACCCAGTGCCATAAGGCGATGAATCATGTACCAAAAGACCTCCCGAAGTATATCGATGTCGGTTTCTCCAGTAGATGCAAAGAATAACTCCACCGATGCCAAGTACAGCAAAAACAACAACGAGAACAACCACCACAATAATCCAAGTAGGCCATTTTGGACTAGGGCACTCTTCAGATGTATACTGACAAATATGATCATCACAACAAACCATATCTTGTGCAGATCCACAGTCTGATGAAAGTGTACAATATTCGCCATAACAACTTATTTTACAGACGCCTTCAACTTCGTATTTCTTATTCATACAACATGATTGTGTGATGTTGTCCTTCTTTGGGCAGTCGTTGTCAGTTAGACACGATTTGTCCGCTCCATAGCTCGCCTCCAACATGGATAACAACAGAAAAAGGAATAAAGGATTACAGTTCATTGTCGTTGGTGAGCTTTACGTTGAATTGTGCCTCTAAATTCACGTCCACAGTGATTGCTATTCTCTTGGTCGAATGTGAAACGTGTTTCTTCTACGCGTGACGTCATGCCTTAATTAAGGTCAACTCGTGGCTTTTGATGACAAAGCCCCAGTTAGTGGGGGACCCCTAATATGTGAAATGGGCAAGACGCGAAAAACATAAACGGAGGTCCCCCTCTTAAACATTGAAGTCCCCCCTTCCTGTAAGTTCATTTCATTTCATTTAAAAATGCTGTCAAAAGCTTAATTTTTTTTTGTCAAACCGAAATTAATGCACATTTTAAATATAATGTGTTCACTTTAGTGTAGAGTGTGTTCRTTCTGGGATAAGTTTTAACTCAGTATAAATTCGACTGAGAGAAATTGTCTGTGTTTGCAGCTTATTCCACTATTTACTTTACCATATGGGTCGTTTGGTTTCAGTTTCAGGGTTTATTTTAGCGTTCGCTTATAGAAACATGTCACAATGTACTCCTCCTATTTATTAACACTATTATCTAAATTATAATCRCATACAGATTGTTGAAAATTTAAAAGTTACTACATTATATTAAACCTATCAAAAATTAATCTATTTTGTACTAGAGTTCATATATCTGGTTAATCTTGTCCGAGTCTCGGAACATGATAAGTGCTCCAAACGAGGGAATTCATGCACTTCCACGTGGTTTCATTTCTTTAAAAGCATCCTGTAGATTCTGGTACAATTTGGTAGGCACCTTTCCATCAGGTTGCAGTTTCTTGGCCTGATCCAAGGCATCTGCCCAGTCTTTTTTAGCACGACTGAGTTCATCCAGTACCCAGCTRCCATCATCAGGATTTACATCTTGCAAGGCGGTGATAAGCTCTTGTAGATCGGCATCCAGCGCCCCCCATGCAGCTTGAAGACTTGAGGCTGCTGTAATGGCACTTTGTAAAGCTTTGACGAAGTTACCAATTTGACCTTTGGTTGTCTTGAGGCCAACCAGTTCAATTTTGATTCCTTTTAGTTTTTCACGTGTAGACTTCTGTTTTTCGATCTGTTGGCTGTAGTCTTGAGATCCAAAGGTCTCCATAACTGTACCGGCAGATACCACTAGCACCCCTCCACCTATAAGAGCGGTTGACATACCTCCAGAAGGGATTTCAGAGATAGCACCGAACACGATCATTGCCACTCCTGCAACGATAGTAACTGCCCCTCCAGCCATCAGGCCGATGTCCTTGTCCATAGCGTCGCTAATTGCATCAAGCTGCTTACTCAGAGACTTAATCTCACCACTGTCCCCCTCGATCTTGACCGCTGCCGTGTTCACATCTGATTCGAAGTTCCCAAAATCAGTGTTGAGGTTGGTGTGAAAGGAGGACAAATCTTTGACAACCTGAGCCACGTTGGCATCCTTCTTCTTGATAGTATTTTGTAGCAACTTTAGTCCTTCCACGAACTTTTTCCTCGACTCAGGGTTGTTCAGGTCCTTGGCGTACTTGACCAAGTCTTCGTAGAAAGCTTCAAACTTGTTGGCATAGTCGATAATATCAGCATCAGTYTTTGCCATCAGTGGAAGAATCGTAGCGTTCCAGTTATTTCCATGAGAGCGAGCAGTTTGCTGGTGTGCTGGGAGATTAGGGAGGGCAACGAGCTTTAAATCCGGTTGCTGCAGGATCATTTGTACATAGGTTTGAATAACAGTGGACGCTTTGGTAACATCAAGTTGTTTGTTCTTCAGCTGTGCATTTGACAGGGCTCCTTTTTTCTTTGAACTCATCTTCGAATCGGGACAATCTTGTAGAGTTAAATGCGAAAATATGTAACACTGCTGAAAATTTCACCTACTGTGCCGACTTCGAAATCTAGTGTCACGTTTTATAATGTGGGTGTAAAACTTGTTCGATCATGACCTATCAAAGGGTTGAGGTGACCACTCGAGTGTGTCTTGCCTACGCACGTTTCAGCTTCTTGAATTTCAAATTGAGTGCAAAGAATCGAAGTGGATTACCGATTTGAATAGGGTTGATTACGAGTATGGAGCATAAAACTATGAATATATCATTAAATTGTTGGAATTGGGAGAAATCAAATAAATCAAATAAATCAAATCAAATAAAAATCAACACTTTCTTCGATTGTGAATTAGGAAAAATCGCCACCAAGAAAACAAAATAATGCGTGACTCTGTCCTAGCTTCCTTTGATAGCTCTTTTTTCTTTGTACAAAGGAGAGAGACAACGGCRCCAACGGTTTCGCTTGATCGGAAATGTATGCCTTTTCGATCTCGARAARAAAAGGAAGCCAAAACGCATCGAAAAGCATGCTTTCAAACGTGTGGACGTGGCCTCTAGCAGATAAAAAACACGTACACTTGGCCACCAAATGTTGTCAATCGCTTCCAAACTTCAAAGATACCGCGCAAACAATTAATCCGTGAAACACTAATTACTAAATAGTTCGAAATAGTTCACTCCGATGAAGGACTAACGTCCGAAACGTCAGTTTCATTTTTACATACCATACGGTGTTACAAATTATCTATCTATCAACTGTAGTTCGAAATAGTGCTAATTAAGCAATAGAAAACAATGGAGTTTGCATGAAATTGTGCTATTTAGTATTACTAAAGTTCACGGTTATATTGTTTGCACTCTACCGTGGAGTTGCTATTTGGAGCCCTACTGTTATTTGTCAAGCGCGAAATTCCTTATTTTGTGACAATTGACTTTCACTGCAAGTCATCATCCGGCTATTTTTCATTGTAGCTAATTGATTTGATTGAAGTGTGTGGTTATAGAAATATTGTATCAAGTGCGAACGCAACGAGCCAAACGAAAAATTCGAGGATACGAAATTTCCCAAGTTGTTTAGTACAAGAAACAAACCAATTTTTGGCTCTAGTGCGAATATGGTGATAAAATAAATATTCTGGCACCAGCAAATTACACGCGTGGCCTTGCAAACGAAAAATTTGCATTCATTTTCGTTGAAATTACAAGACATAATTTATAAAATATCAAAGTTTCAATTTATTTATTTATTTATTTATTTTGATAGTTTTGCCTGGAACCTAAGTTAGACATATTCACATGTAAGTATATCTCAATAGTTGTTATCAATGATCCATAATCACTATTAATATCATGAGAAAACGACATAGGCGTTGTTCTTAAAACTTATTTAACGTGAATCTCGTCCATGATATTTTTCACTGCTTTGACTGGGACAACCCCGGTTGGTATCATCTTCCTTGCCAAACTCAATGCTTCTTCCCAGTCGCTTCTTGCAATATTCAACATGTTGGTTAACCCTAACGAGCCAGGGTTGTTGTCAAGGTCACTGATCACCTTTGCCAAGTCATCAGACATTACGGACCACTCCTTCTCAAGTACACCAACTGATTTCACTGCYGTTTCTATCTGACTTACAAAGCCATCCAGAAGACCCTTGACGTGTTTCAGTATCCCAATGGCTTGCTTATCGGTGCTGAGTTCTTCWTGGAGACTTTTCTTCTTCTCGACTGCGAGACCGTACTCAACACCWCCAGYTATCTCCGCAGTGATTCCCGTCCCAAGCATCCCGATGCCAGCTAGGATTAAACCAGTTGAAAGTCCATCTGTTTCAATCTCTGCAAGTGAACCGACCAATATTAACACTATACCTCCAACCGTTCCCACTGCACCGCCTGCCATAGTTCCAATCATGGCGTTYATCTTAGAATTAGTGGAATCAATCTCGTCACTGATCTTTTGGAGTTTGCCATCATCTCCTTCGAGTATTTTTGCTGCTATYGTTACTTCTCTTGAGAAGTTTTCGTGATCTGCCGTTAGATTCTTTTTGAAGTCTTCAAGTTGGAGATTCAGATACCTCACAGTCTCTTCTTTACGATTCACGTTGCTCCTCAGGAGGCCAAGTCCTTCYTTGAAAGACTTAAGTCCATCTTTCTTTCCAGCATCGATCTGTTCTGCAAGTTTGTACAAAGTGTCGTAGAAAGATGTAAAATGATGGGCAAAGTCGATGATGTCGGCGTTAGTCTTAATGATGGCTGGCAAAACTTGAGAMGTCCAATTTTCGGCATGGTTTCTGGCCGTCGCTTGATATTTTGGCAAGTCAGGCAACTCCTTGAGTTTGATGTCCGCTTGTCGTTGTATTGCTGCTGTATACGTCTGGACCGCTGCAGAAGCGTCGAAGAGTTCCTTTGMGGCACTTGATATTTTGGAGTTTGACAAAGACATGATTGCACCGCTTTTGATTCAGCGTAAAACTGCAGTTCTGCTGATGATTGTTTAGTAAGATTTCACTTTTGCATAAGTGACGTCACATCCTATTGTTGAGTAGTATCATCAGTTCGAGTCACGTCTACGTGATCATCTTTGATTACTCATGCGTTAGTACTGAGTAAACGAGGTTTTGGTGTAATTTTCTTTGYCCTAGATCTATTTATATAAGTGTTCTATAGCTTTTGTTTCACTCGTTTTCGTCATTGTTAGCCTAGTCCYTTAGGAGTTTTTGTATGCTTTATCAACGCCTTCATACACAAATGTAAGTTATTCGTTTCCCTTACTTCTTATCGTTTTTGCAGTTTAACGTTTTGTAGTTTTTCCTATTTGTTATATCATATTTACTAAGTTATTTATCTATTTGTAGTCTTTACCGTACGCTATGCGTATGAGTTTAGAATAAAACAATCAAGTAAAAATATATTTTTTATATTGATGTGTGTGGTTGTCGAAATAGTAAAAACTTTCGAGTCGACAACCACCATTTTAAATCTGTCAATCATTCGTATGTCAATAAAATGATAGTAGGATCAAGTTGAACGGCTAGTGTCACGTAATGGAAGTTAAGATTTATTATGAATTCATTTATCRTTATGAACTGATATAAAGTTGATTGCTCTTTTAGTCAACTAGCTTGGGATTAAGTGAAGGGTAGGGACATGACAGTTAAGGATTTTGAATCATATACTTAATTTTCAAAGGCTTTTCCTGACAATAATAAAAATGTTCTTATTATATAGAGCGTTTTCACTCACGTGAGAAAGCAGCCATAAAAAATAGAAATTTTCTGCACAGTATTTGCATAAAAATAGAGTTCAATTCCCGGAGGATAGAAAACGTATTGTTTTGGTACCCCATAATGGCCGCTATGACGTCAAGTAAAAACGCTCTATACTGCAATTTGGTAAAAAGTGGTCACATTGCATGAGTGTGACTGCCATTCACGATCACTTTTGGAAAAATTTTGGTTTCATTTTTTTCAAGAGCATCATTCCAGTCTTCCAAGCAGTTTTCTGTACTTCCAGTCAAGATATTTGACTCAAAGCAACTGACTTGCACGCATTAGTTATTTTGGAAAAGCTTAGGTTTCAATTGTTCAGCTTTCTCTAAAGCAACACTCCAGTCTTTTTTGGCAGTTTCCAGTAAGGGTTCCAGATAGTCTACAGCACTGGTGTTAGAAAGGTCCTTAAGCTCCTCCATAACTTCTCCAAAATCACTTGTCAGTGATGCCCAYGCTTGTTCTAGTACTAATGCAGCTTGGGAGACGGGATCTTTGGACTTGACGAATCCATCGATGTGGTGTTTAGCGGCATTTAAGGCCACTAGTTCTTGTCTTTTGATTGCCATCTGCTTCTGTACATCGCCTTTGGCATCTTCCTGCTTTTTCAAATCAATACCTCCGCCAAYTGCTAGCCAAAAGMRAATAATTCCTCCTGCAATTAAGCCCCTGTCGCGGTCGATAGCTTTATTGATGGCATCTAGKTGATCTTGCATTGCTYTTAATTCTCCAGTTTCCCCAATGATCTTGATCTTGGCTTCATCTGAATCTCCCTGGAAGTTTCTCATATCTTGATTCAGCAAAGACCCAAACTGACCCAATTTGGCTGTAACYTCTTTACTGTGGCTGACGACCACAGAGGAAAGAGTGTGCTTGAGGAAATCGATATTTTGAATAAATTCAGTCTTGGCATTTYCATCTCCTTTCTTTAATTTCTGTATCAACTTCTTAAGYGTATCATACTTTCCCAGAAAAGCCTTAGAAAACTGAATTGTGTCAGTAATACTCTGCTGTATTTCGGGTTTGACTTGTGTTTGCCAAAGGTGGGCGTGTTTCCTCGCTAAATCTTGGTGAGCAGGAAGGTTTTCTAGCTCTTTAACTTTGATGTCTGGCTGTACCAAAATGGAATGCACATAGGAGTCAACGACTTTGGTGSCATCTACAACTCCACTGAGCTGATTAGGAAGCTGACAATTCGATAGTTTTCCTTTTACTGTTGGCATTSTTTACACTGCCTCGTGTTGTCGCTAGTGAGACTATCGTGAAGCAGTCAATGGAAGAATCAAGTTTGAAAGAATCAAGTGAGTCGGGCGTTCCTCATCAGTAAGCACCAAGCAACGAATGGCGTGACGTCTTTCCCTTCTTTGACAGCTGTCTGTCAACTCCTTTGACATACACTTTTTCCGTGATATTCAATTTTACCCTTGATATACAAATTCACCCTTGATATACAATTTTACTCTTGAATACAAAAACAACTAAAATCAAGGAAAAAATTTAAAAGAAAGACGATTTCAAGCGCGCGCTGGCTCTGTGCGCGAGCGATTCGTCATGCTATGTGGCTGTCCTCTTATAAGGTGCTGACACACGGTGCAACAAATTTGAACCGGGGTGACACACGTTGCAACAAAATCACGCAAAATCGCAATTGCAAGAGTAGAGCTCRATTTAACTTCAGATTCGTTGAATGTTGCGTACAACAATTTTCAGGGGTAGACACGCGCTGCAACAGTCCTGTTGTGTGCAATGTTGACCTTAAGCTTTATTGATCATAGCTGTCAGCCAATCAATTTGAGAGAATACGATCTGTTAATGTAAAAATACCATCTGTGAACTCAAGTGCAGATCAAGTTGCGTTGGAGGATTTAATGAACTTCCCGTGTACTTAAGTTCAGGGGGAGGGATGAAAGAAAGGTAGAGGGATCTACCGACCGCAGCCGGGCTGTTAGTGTTCCGGAATAGTGTGTTACTTATGATAACACTTATGGAAACAAAAGTGAAAGTTTTGCTACCTTTGTGCCACGTTTCAAACGGCAACACTTAGTGCGGAACAGTATAGAGTTGTGTCATCCAAATATGTATGTGTATTGCATGACATCATTAGAAAAAGGTGTCATTTACATAAATAAGGAAAAGTAATGGACCTTAACATGATCCTTGACGTACCCCATTGCGCATAGGTAAGGTATCATTCTGCATGTTTGTTTCTGCATGGCATGTTTGTGTAAATTAAATGAATTTAATGCGAATACTAATAAAACAAGGCCCCGTCCACACTATGCCGGGTAAATATTAATCCGCAACTTTCACACCGAAACCGAAAAAAAAGTTTTCCGTCCACACATGAAAACGGAGAAAATGTTTCGCGTCCACACTAATACGATCTTAGCCGCATAAATCATCAAAAAATGTGCCTCGTCTTGTTTAGGGATCATATYAAGCCTATAGACGCCCGAAAAATTCATAAACACAGTCGAAWTAAAGAGAACCTTACATAAAAAGGCAATGCGATAAACCTCTCGTGGCTAGATATCAAAGTTTAGCGATTACCGTAGCGTTTACAAAGATGCAGCCACTCTTTTGTTACAAGTACTGAACAAAATGACTTCTAAGCATAA